ATATATATATATGTATGTGTGTGTGCTGCATGCGTAGGTGTATGTATGTATGTATGTATGTATGTATGTATATATATATACATACATACATACACACAAGACTTTGTATACCGCAACAAGCCTCTAAGCCTGTCGAATCAAGGACACTCGGAGCCCTAAAACAGCTGAACTCCAAACCCGAAAAACCCTAGCGACCGAGACACTACCTGGGAAGCCCTCAGACCTCGGTTGTTTACCTATCTATCTTGGACAACAAGGTCTAAACCTACTATAGGGGCTTTAATACAATTAGAGTAGGATTTTGGGGTATATGTATATATATATATATTATACTAGACTTACAGTAAGGCAACCCCCTTCGGGCCCAAAATAGTGTAGGTAATTATTTGGACGCCTATATTACGAGTAAAGCAACACTTCATCTCCAACCCCTGGAATCCAAAACCGTAAACATGCATCCTAAATCCCACTACCAAACCCCCAAATGCCCCCAATATACACATAGCTGCCTGAGAGTCCACGATGGAGCGCGCCTGTCATCCGTAGGCGACAACAGCAAGGTGTTGGGTTCAGGGTCCGAGTCCTAGAGCTGAGTTTTAGGGGTCTCAGGATTCGCTTCAGGGTTCAGCAGAGATGGGAGGTTTAGCGCTTGGGGGCTTTGGTAGGGCTTAGGGATTTTCTTTTTTTTATATTAAGGTGACATAGATCGCGGCCATCCAGCGGGTTCTGAGTTCTGGGCTTCAAAAGATGCATTGCCAGTCTGCAGTTCGTGACGTGCAGCTTTCATAGGTGGTACTGTACTATGTACCTGTGTATGGATTACTCTAAAACTGGTCAAGCCACTGAACAGGTTAGTTGAACTTCTTGGGTGGGGCTGGGCCCTATGAAAGATCCGTCTGTATTGGGTTGCACATGGCCCGCACATGACACCCATTCCACAATGTGAGAACGGACATGTGTCTTGCTGTTGGCATGAAAGAACACTACAAGCCTTCTGGGTTAGCGTGCCAACCGGGGTTGGCTGTTGGTCGACTTTCTGCGTGATCTGCCGAGACCTGGCTCGCTGTTTCACATGTTCAAAGCCCAGCTGTGTGCCAGCACAGCCCAGGACTCCAAGGGTGGCATGCAAAGCAGAATGAACCAGGCTTACGGGAAGCTCTACATCTCAAACCCTACACTCCGAAGCCGGATCCCTAAACTTAACAGGCCTCAACTCCTGATTCCCTGAGGCCTGCTCCTCCTTTTTTTCTGCGGCATGTCAGCGAAGGTCATCCTTGCAGATGCCTTGAACCTGCAAGTTGTTGTAGAAGTCGCCTTCCAGAACCTCCAGCTTGAACCATTTCCTGAGCTCTTGTTCGGGAGCTCAACGGGGACTGAAATTTTTTTGAAAAGAAGAGAACGGGTTTATGTTGCCATGAAGCATGCTTCCCTGACCATGAGAACTTAAGCTAAGGTGGCTAACAGAACCAGGTTTCACCAGGTGGGCCGGCCGGCTCAGGGGCAGAGGCGCCTTGGCTTCGAACTTGGACTTCGCGGAGTCCGCAGCAAGATGCCAGTGCAAGCCATCCTTCGAGCAGAAAACCCGGCAATGAACTTGCTCGGGCATGTCCCTGGCGAAGGACAGGCCCGTGAGATAGACGGAGTCCTTAGCTATCCACTTCAGACACCCGCGCGAACTGTCGACTCGAATACAACAAGCCCGAAAGCCCCCGGTCTCGCCACCAAGAGTCATGCGGCAGCATCCAAGTAATTGAATTTGCCGTCATGTGGAATGGTCGACGGTTGCTGGCATACTGCTCTAAGGGCTCATTGTTTGTTAAGCAAAAATCAAAGCTGCCCGGGCCAAGGACCACGTTTAGAAAAAAGCCCAGAAACGGCGGACGACTTGCCCAGGAATCACACGCTTCCCGCAACCAGCTGAAGATATCCTCGCTGTAGCTTGCGGCACAGACAGGTAAGGTCCCAAAAGCCGCCAGAGAGCGCCCATAAGCAGCCGACATACGGGCGGACTCCTCTTTCATGCGGAGCAGGTGTCTCTCAATCACCGGCTCCAGAGCCCCAAGCACCGTTTCTTCCTCTCCAGCCTTCCGTTTCTTCCGATTTCCCCAGGAATTCAAAAGCACCTCCAGCTCTGCGTTGCTGGTGCAGATCAGCCCGGGCTCTAGGATCTCCTCCAAGAGCTCAGGGCTTGCACAAGGGCAGGATTCCAAGGCATCGTCGGCCATGATCCAGATCGTCTCCAGCGCCATCCGGCGCACGTCGGGAAGCTGGAAGCGGGCTGCAGACACAAAGACTTGACTGGAATTCCTCGCGTTGAGGCCCTTCTCGAAGGCCTGGGTGCAAAGCTCCTGGAGTTTTTCTACCTGGTATTTGTCCGCCAGGGCACACACCTCCACCAGGGCTTCAAGAGGGCCCTCGACCACGCCCGAGTAAAGGAAACGGAGGAAGGTCTCCACTGATGTGCTGGAGAAGTCGGTGATGATCACCCGAGCCTGGTGTCGCTCCATAAAGCTCTCCGAGTTGATCATCTTGTCGAAAACAGCCGACCAACTCGTGAGCAAGGGAGACCAGACTTTAAACTCCGTGCGCTTGGCTTCGGCCGCACTGCTTTCCTTGGCTCTCCAACTCGCAGGCCGACAAAGCTTGAATAGGTTCAATACTTAGCGACATTATTATCCCGACGGTTTGTAAAACTGGGATGCAGGACTGCAGCGAGATCAACGATTTTTAAACCGAAGCGACCGCCGGCTCTTCCACCACGACAGTGAAGTCACCGCCTTGGCCGAAGCAGCTCCGTAGGATGCCCGCGGCAAATGCGGTGTCTCCCTCGATGGCATTTGCCATGGCTGCTTTGGGATTGTGAAGTTAGAAGCTACAGGGCCCTTGGCCCGAGAACCGTTGAGGATAGATAGGGCTGCTTCTTCACGTTCTTCTTAGCATGCATGCAACTTTTAGCGGAGATCTGTTTCTTGCGGCTCTTCTTCGGGCTCCTGCTCGTCATGCTACGTGCACGACCATGAAAGCAAGAGCAATGCTGACCAAGTGGATGGCGGATAGGGAGCCATGCTTAAGTCCGCACTCTGCTAGATGATGCTTTACTCCAAACCCTCAGGAGTGGCTGCCAAATTTCAATCCAAACAATTTGAAAGAAAACTGCAGCCCTTTGCAGAAGCAGTAATGTAAGCAGCATGTGATAGATGCGCTGTCTGTTAGTGATGCTGCCTTTAATCCCGAAACTCTTTTCCAGGGGTGCCTGAAACATAAAATCATCATAAACCCTGAGCCGTTCAGGAGCTTTGTTGCGCCGGTACTGTGATTCCAGCTGCGCTATCATTTGGCGTTTTGGAAGCCCAGCCAGGCCTATGCTCCTTATTATCCTTAGTTTCATCATCTTACGTCAGAAGGGTCCTCCCCTAATGTCCCGACTTGGTCGCGGTTCAGAGTCTATATTGGGCCTTGCAGAAGCCTGAAAACCTGAAGCAATACGATGCTTATACAAATCCTCCAGAAGGATGAGGCACCCCGAAGTATGGGAAATGGCAGTCGGAGTCCACTCCTGCTCTAAAGCCTCAGCTACGCTCAAAGGGACCTAAACACCCGAAACCGTAAACTCCAAACCCTAATCGCTGAAAGCTCTGAGCCCTACTTCCTCGACGCAAACCTGCCTCGATGGCATCTGCAGCCGCAGCGGCTTCCCGGGCCAGTCGGGCGATCTCCTCTGATGCACGCATATCGGCCCAGTAGCCGAATGATTCTCATAATGGCTGCTGCGTATTATTCTGCTTCCAGGTAATATTTCCTGAATGAAGTGGTATTGAGTTCTCTGGATCAAGGCTGATTTCCCAATAGACCGGCGCAGGGTTCGGGTAGCCCTGCACCTCTGCAGTGAACCCAGCAATGGCCTTCCGTTCATTGTGGGGTTTGGCTAGAAATGGGAGTTTCCAAAAATAAGGGGGTACCTTAATTTGGGGGGTCCTTATAATAAGGATCCTACTATTTAGGGTACTATATTAGGGTCCCCTAATTTTCGGAAACCCCGCAAAATGAGGGCAAGGGAAGGTCGGTCGCTTTGGCCTGCGAGTTGGACTTTATAGGTTCCGGGCTGGCATACTTAAAGGATCATGGGACTTAGTAAGTAGGGTTATAAGTACTTTAATTGGGGCTATAAGTATTTATAACTATAGTTGCCTTATTTATAACCTCAGTTACTCAGTTCCCAGATCCTCTCGGAGGCTGAGCAAAGCCACCCAAGTAGAGGTCCGATCTTTGAGAAGTTCACACATACGATGGGCTTCTGATGTGATCACACACTACGATGACGATAGCAATCGTAAAAACTGAAACACTAGCAATAGTCACACTGCCCTGCAATCATTAAATCAAACCTAATCACGGCGATAGCAATAGCAATGTCTCTGTCAAATCAGTGCAAGTCTTCAATGGAAAGAACTGAGAGGAGCTTGTTTCCTGGATTTTTTTGTGGTGATGTGCCGAGAATTTGTTCACTGAAGGGTATGGGAGGTTTAGGGAACAAGGAACCCCAAATACGGACCCCCAAAGAAGGCAGGATCCTTCTTATGAGAACCCGAACAAGCCCCCCCCCCCCGTTTTTACGACTCCCGTTTTAAATAACTGGGCTGCTGGGATTAGCTGAGGGTTAACTGTGGCCACGTCGACGCCGTACACCAAGAACAAAAAACGATGCCTCTGTGGAGATTGTGAAACCCGCACAAGACCCCTTACTACAAACAACCTTCAATTATGCAACTCCTCACAGCCCTAAATCCTCCCGCTCCTGCGCCACCTGAGCCTGTTCTGCAGCTTGGGCTTCTGCAGCCACCTGCAGCACTTTGTAGTTAGTGGGCTTCCGGTTGACCCCTTGGGGGGGGATCTTGGGTGTTAAGGGGCGGACTGAGGGGGGATCTTGGGTGTTAAGGGGCCGACTGAGAGGTCCTGAAACAGTGAGGCCGTGAAGCCGCAAACTCTAAGCAAAGGGTCCAACATGAGGTCTTGTCTCGGAATCCTTCATCCAGCAACTCCGAATCCCTTCTGAACCTCCCCACACCTTGATGGCTAGGCAGAATCTCAAATAGACCTTGAACCAGAGGCCCTAAACCCTAAACCCTACCCTAGCCCTACATCCCAAAGACAGGAGCTGAATGCGAAGGTGTCCTGCCTCTGCCGCCGGGGCAGGCTCCGAGATTGCCGAACTGGATGACGAAGCAGATTTGGATTGAGGTTTTAGGGTTTAGGGTTTAGGGGTTTTAGGGCTTCTCTTGTATCACGTCCCTTTTCCGTCTCGCTTGATCAGGCGAGTTTATTTTTTGGGGTTTTTATTCCTACTACCTCCCAAATATCTGCACACAATAGCGACACTCCCCGAATGGCAACAGGATCCCAAAACACTCGCCGGGAACCCCTAACATACATCTCGATTCGCTTCTGTTTCCGAAGAGTTCTTGACTGGTTCGGGGGATGTGGACAGCTTTCAAAAGAAGGGTCCTATTTCTTGTAACTTGTTTGAGTGACGTACGTCATCGCAGATCCACATTCAAAAAGAGATACTACTTATCAAGGCCGTGTCTTTGGGCTGAGGGGGCTGCAAAGTCAGAGTTTGAACATGAGGTTCCCTAGTGTTTCAGCAGAACTACTGCCTAGTAGCTTAGTATACAGGCCTCAGCAAATGGAACAGGATTTTTGGGCATGTTTAGTTTTGTAAACAGCGGGACTAGAATCTAGAATCTAGAATGCTACTTCTACTTATTCAGGCCCCCCCCCCCATGTTCGCGCCTCAGCATTCATGAGCCTAATCTTTTCTAAGGCAAAAATCCACTTTCTGCCATAGCAAACCGTTGCCGCAGTTTATGAGGGCCTCAGGGGCTCAGGGGTTGAGGGATACTGCCTATAAAGTCTATATAGGACACTCGCAACGCACTGCAAACAAACCATCACACTCTTCTGACTACGGGGTGATAGAATCATCCCTGATTGCAGTAGGCGCGATGCTGATATCGAATCTCTTTTGCTAACACAGCTATGCTACATCGACTCTTGCACTCCCGATCAGGGATCGGAGCATCAATCCACCTCTTTGGCTAAGGCTCAAAATGTCACAGCACCCTGGCTTCTGGACCGAACACCCTAAACCACGAGTCCTCAGGAAGAGGCTGAGGGCAAGGTTTGAACTGGAAGCAAGCGGCAAAAGATCTGAGTGCACGACATCGGAGAAGATATCTCCGCAGGGATCTCAGGTTTGCTTTCTTCAGGAAGTGAGGTCTACCCACTGTTCAGGGGTTATGTTGTCATAGTCAACTGGGCATAGTATTCGTAAGTTGCATAACCCGAAGTGACATGTTAAGAAGAAGACCCACACTGTAACTCAAGTGGTCGAGGGTTGTACAGAAGAAGACTGAGCGCCGAGGCACTATATGGGACTGAAGAGTTCGCACAAATAATGTCCCAGGGCTCCGCAAGATATTCATCGCCTGCAACTCCTTGAAATGCAAACGTGATGATATTCGGCCGTGGTAGTATCGAAAACAGGACCTTCCACACAGGCGCAACATTTACGACCATCCCAGGGCCCTACGCCCAGAGACGGAAACCGTGCATCGAACATCCAAGTCACAAAACTCCTAAACTTGAAACCATATGCCCCAAATCTCAAAGCATTTCCGTACTGCTGAATTCCTCGGCCGGGGACAGTTTAATTGGTATGGGCTTATTTGCCCAGGACGTCTTAAGACTCAGCCACAAAGATTTTCAAAGCCCTTGGAACATTTTTGGCACACAATTGCACGTGGACCTGGCTGATGACGGTGATGACGATCTAATTAATGATCAAGAAGACGAGAAGGATGGCTTGAACCGAGTGGGCCTAACGTGACTTGAGAGCTTTGTCAAGGATTCAGGTCCTAAACCTTGAAGCCTGAAAGCATCAACTTGACTTACAACACCAAGTTTTGGAATGTAGAATAGAAACATCATAATTGAGAGCTATGTTCCAATTTCCGATTAACTACAAAAAAGAGGTCAACCGAATCAGAATTAAACCAGCACCCCACTTAACATCGATTCGACCCTACGCTAGCAGTTTGTCGAACAGACCTTAACCCCTGTTAAGGGCAAACTTCAAGTCCTGAACGCTAAACCGACATCCCAATTCCTGCCCGATGCATGAGCTTCCGGCGACGGTCGCTTGAGCCTCCTGCGACGGTGGTGCCGCAACTGCGGGGGCCTTCTCACAGAAGCAACATGGTCCAGGAGAGCCCTCGAGCTCCTGTCAAGATAATCCAACCAAGCCCAACAAGGGATGGTTCTTTGATAATCTGATAGAGAACCCGTACGGGGGCCATGTACACATGAAAAGGAGCACCCTAGTAAAGATTCTACGTACCTCCACAGCGAGGCGCTATTCTCCCTCATATTGACTGTTACTCGTGTGATGACAAAGATATACAATGACAGTTTCACCATCTCCCAAGCTTGATAGATCATTACGTTTTCGGCCCCAGCACGGGCACGGCTTGGAAGTTATTTTGTCTTTGTGTTGGGGCTGGGCTGGGGTTGCGGGCTGGAGGCTGGGTGCTTCGGAGTTTCTAGGTCTAGGCTAAGGCATTTGGTGTTCAGGGGGGTTGCACGGGAGAAGCCCAGGAAGTTTAGAGGAAGAGGAGGAGACGAGCATTCTCTCACCCACCACCGCCGACAGACAAGAAGTATGACAGCATTGCAATGATACGACCATCTCCTAAACCCTAAACCCTTTTTTGAACGAGGTCTCTCTGCAGTGTAAACCCTCAACCCTAAACCTTGCTGGAACCTAAACCCAGATTCCCGAATTCGAT